CGAGTCAAAACGGAAGTTGTCTGACGTAATTGTGAAAAGGGCCTATTGGAGACTGTAAAGTTGTTGCAGAGAGCACATGATCATCCAGCATCGGATGTTGTGTGTAGAATGACTGTTGTTGTGAAGAAGAGAAAAATAGTAAAATCAGAGAAGACCAAATGGTGGAAGCTGAAGAATGAAAGTTTGATCTGATTTAGTATTTCATTGTTGCGATTGTGTTCATGTTTTTTGTTTTATTCCTTTTAAGCACACGGTCACCTGATCTGATTTACTATTTCATTGTTTCTAATTATGTTTTGTGTTTTTATATTTTATTCCATATGCTGTAATTATATCTTGTTACTTTTTATTTGATGCAGTGATCTTTTTGTTAAGCACTTTGGTAACAGTTTCTATTTTAAATGTGCTATAGAAATAAATCTGACTTGACTTTAATTATTCATGATTTGAATCCCTGGTCTGTCCTGGGGGTCGTCCCAGAGTTCTGGTAGATCTTCAGCCAGGATGAAACCTTCACAACATTCAAAACCAGTTTTTTGATCATATGGTAAAGACAAAAGACATCACAGAAGTTTGGATGAACATTTTAATTGAGAACATGCAGCTGCCCACATCAGGCTGTCGCTGTGAACACGACGAGTCCTTCCTAACTCTGACACACTGCTGTAGAAAAATAAAGGCTTGTTTACAATACTTTATATATTTATAATGTACACTTTTAAACACAGAGTCTGTTTTTAAAGTATGTTCACACAGAATCTCATCAGATTTCCATTAATGTTTGATGGAACAATCAACAGAAGCTTGCAGCAGAGCTCCGTTTCTCCTCCTCTTTACAGTTTCAGACTAACAAACACTCCAGTGCATTTCCAGCACATCAACCAGAACCTACACGTTTTTATTGAAATGTTTCATGATGACACGGTTTATAAAACTCTGAAAATAAAAGTATGATAAAAATACAAAACAGAAATTTTGGATGCGTTATGTTGAGTTTTATTAAAATAAAAACAAAATATTAAGGTTTTGTTGAGTCATTGTGTAGATTAAATATGTTCAGATCCTCCAACCTGTTGTCTTCTACATCTTCTCCCTCCATCACAGCAGTTTCTGTCATTTAGGCGTTTTGTTTTATACCATTAAACTAATTGTTTTAAACGAACATTTAGTGTGTTTAGCTTAATGGCATTAAGTCAACCCTGTGTTTTTATATATTTATGAAAAACACAATTAGCTTTTATCAAATGATTTCAAATTCATCTTTGTGGCAGCATGAAGCTGGTTTTATTTCAGAAACTGGCTTCTTGAACAGTTTCTATCTCTTTTGATGCAACAGCACCAACGTGTGGACAGAAACTGATCTTTGGTTTAATATCCAGTGTTGCAGACATGGTTCTGACCCGTGTGGACCAGCTGCAGCTGAAAACAAGCAACATCCATTAAATATATTTACAGCTTCTTTCTGCTGCAGGTGGGACAGAAACAAGGCGCGCTTCATATTGACAGACGACCCCAACATGAAGGACCAGGCTGGATGTGGACAGTCTCTGAGGGGCTCAGTGAGAGTAGTAACTAAATTATTTCTGCTGCTCAGTGCCTGAATAAGGAGAAACACAACTATCTACAAACAATTACTTTCTTTCAAGTCACAATTTCCCATTGATTTTCTTAGAATTGCCTTCAAACTGTGAGTTGGTGAAATATTTTGTTGCTTCTCCCAGCAGTTTGTCCCGTTCCTCTGGACAGAGCTGTTGGAACAGAGTCAGGTGTGAAGGCCACCTTGCACACTTTTTCAGCTCTGTCCAGACATTCTCTATGAGATGAAGCCTCGTTGCAACTAATTTGACAGTAGGTCCATTTGGAAGAGACTGGTCCCCAAGCTTTAACTGGTTCATGTCTTGAGATGTAGCTTTAATATTTCCACTTCATGGTTTGTCCTTGTCGTGCCTTCCATTTTGTGGTGTGTCAGTTTCTCCTGCAGCATAACCTCCCCACAGCATGATGCTGCCACTTCCATGCTTTAGTTAAGATACTGTTCTCAAACCTGCAAAATTTTCATCCAAATGTCACCGTGGCCATTAGAGCGAAAGAGCTTAGATTCTCATCAGACCACAGGACGTGACTCCAGACATTCTCCAGGTGTTTATCCTTGTGTACAACTGTTTGAACAGATAAACACGGCACCTTTACACATCTGGGCAAGATACTGAATCCCTCATAGCCTCTGATGTGTGTCCCATCAGTGTATGCATGTGATCTAAAAAGCACTGATTAGTCTTTTTAGAATGATTTGTTCAATTAGCTTTGTAGATATCTAGTAGAGTGCTGTATGAATGGGTAAATCAGGACACAGATTGTAGTGTAAAGCGCTTTGAGTATCTTGAAATAAGATAGAAAGGTGCTATATAAGTACAGTCCATTTACCATTTACAGTGAGAAAAGAAACGCTTCAGTCTGTGTATAAAGAGGTTGTAATCATCTGGTTTGAACAGACAGCTGTGATTGGGACCATGTTGGTTTACATCAGTCCTGAACATGACCACTCAGGACTCTGTGACCATTTTTGATTCAAACTCATTAAAGAAAGGCCACGCCCACCTCATGCCTGAGTACAACCGCATCACACTCTGGCTGCAGTGCTGCTGCTTCTTTGACTTCTTTTTACTACAGTCAGCAACTATTCCTGGTGTTTCCTGGTGTTATTTGAGAATCTGGCTGCAGGGGGGACTGGTAGTGCTGAGGTCAGAGAAGGTGGGCATGTGATCGGAAGGTCAATGGCTCAACTCCATGGACAAACAACATCAAACTGTGGATGGGAAAGATGAAGCACCCACACCTGCCTCCACCCTCATTTGCCCCACCCTGGGTCCTTGAGCAAGGCCCTTAACCCCCACCATCTGCTCCCCTGGGGCACCCTAGATGACAGCTCTCTGTTCCACACAGAGGGCTGTAGTAGCTCGGTGGTCTGTTGCGTCAGGAAGGGCATGCGGTGTAAAAACTATCACCAAGTCTTTGTGCGAGTTGGTTCACTGTGGCGACCCCTGAAGAAGGAGCAGCAGAAAGAAGAAGAGGATCTGAGCATCTGGATTACAAATCTTTCTGACTTCTCTGTGAGCAGTGGGGGCTGCTGTGGACCCCTCCACATCCTAAAAGCACTCCCAGGCAGCTCGGTCAGTCCGAACAGATGTTCGCCCAACGCAGCAAGACTGCAGACACCATGACTGCAGACACCATGACTGATCTATGGCAGGATTAACATGTGACACTTTTAAAGGCTAACATAGATCATTAGACTAAAACCACCAAGTATCTCTGTCATTTCTGACTGTTCAAATCCTTAACACAATGGTGACATTACAAAACAAGCATGGACAGAAGAAAGGACATTTATAGCTATAGAAATGTTTTTACTCTCATAAAAACATGTTTTTGTTCATGTTTTCTCTCTCCACAACATCATTCCTCTCTGGCTTATTCTGAAAATTAGGTAGTGACACAAATGAGCAACTTCTAGCAACTTTTAGCTACTGTCCTCACTGAGGCATGGGCAGGACTGGCTGGCAGTGAGTTTTTCAAAGACGTCTCCAGACCAGAAGCTCACATTGTTATCTGAGGCAGCTGCTGGATGCTAATGTAAGGATGGTGCATGTGACTGTGCACAGACAACTCATGTTGATAAAGGTGTTTCCTCCTGCACAGTGAGGCTGACCACATCAGTGTTTGCTGTCAACGGTCAGGTTTTCAGCCATGGAGCTCAAAAACTAAGAAAACATCTAATATATGGATAAAAAATAAAAAGTCCTCTGGATGGGGGACAAAACTTTTTTCACTTGAAGAACCTGATCCAGACGACACAATTTTTTGTTGTTCTAAATTATGGATCTGTTCTAGTCATGGATCAAACATCTGGGATCGTTTTTCAACACAAAGCCTGCATTGAGGATGTTCTGGTGCCGGGTGTGTTCAGAGTGACTGCAGGTACCATATGCATGTTAGTCCAGTTCTGTTGTGAGGCTGGAAGAGTTCCTTCAACAGACTGACGATGTGACATCATCAGGTTGGTTCAGCTGCTCTGTTTGGAAACAGACGTTGTTTCCAATGAACATTTTAGAGATTGAAGATGATGAAAACTCTCTACCAGATGTGATACATGCAGCATCCTCCTAGTGCAGCCAGATGTGATACATGCAGCAGCATCCTAGTGCAGCACGATGTGTTAGCACAGAGCTGCATCCTCTTCAGAGCAGAGTCATGATATGGCATCATCATGCAGTCTTTGTGAGACGGGGCTGTTGACAGAGTGATGAAGGTGTAGGCCAGGGGAGCTTCTGAGAGAAGTAGAACAAGGCAGAACAATCTACACCCAGTATCTACTGCTAACTGGTGAAAGACCTTCAGAGTGGGCAGTTGTTCTCACACCCCTCAGAGTTTCAGACGATTACAACTTTGTTGCTTGACTTTTGAACAAGTCCCTGTGATGGACTGGAGACATGTCCAGGTGTCCCTGTGATGGACTGGAGACCTGTCCAAGTGTCCCCTGCCTCTCACACAGTGACTGCTGGACATGGACACCAGTGACACCCGTGACCCGAAAAGACGTGTGTAAAGATGATGGATGGATGGACTTTTGAACAAATTCATGAAAATGTGTGCAACATGTTGTGGTTGACTTTTATTTTACAAAATGAAACAATTGAAAATAGTTGTTTTTTGTTTTTTATAGCAGGGGATGTTTTAGGTCATGAAGTGTGTGTGTGTGTGTGTGTGTGTGTGTGTGTGGGGGGGGGGGGGGTCGTCCTCCAGTGTGATGGGGGCCTTTATAACATTACCACAGGCTAGCTCTGGGTGGTGCTAAATATAAGAACCTTTTGTGTAAAAGAATAAAAAATATAAACATTTTAAATGTATTTAAAAATATAATATTTTGAAAAGATCAAACTTTGTCCTTTAAAGCTTTAATATAAAAATAATTAAAGCAAAAAGAACTGCAAAAAGGGGGTGGGGTAAAAAACTGTATGGAAATAATAACTTTCCACAATTTGAGACATAAACAGTGAAATGAAATCTAAAAAGTGAAAATGAAAGAGGTGACCAGCAGATCGGAGTTTCTGCTTCTGGTTTCATCTTCTCCAAGTGTTTTTCTTCAGAGCTGACCCTCTGGGACTTCCTGTTAAACCAGAGACCCGGCCTGGTTCTGAGCAGGCACCATGATGGGCACCCCTCCCATGCGGCTGATGTTGGAAGCTGTGAAGGTGGACGTGGGCAGCGGTGGTGGGAAGGGGGCACCCTGCGGTTGGCTGAAGGTCTGAGGCACGGCCTGGGCCTGGGGCAGCTGGCTGCAATGCTCCTGTACTGAGAGGGGGTTCCCCCCGGTGGGGGGGTCCGAGGAGATGGGCTGTCCATGTGGTAGGGTGCTGCTATTGTTGTAGTTGTAGTGGGTGGGAGTGGATGCCCCATGGTGGCGGGGTGGCCGGTACCCAGCGGTGCTGCCCGTAGCTGTGATGATGGAGGCGGTGTCTGAGGCAGGGTGCTGGGGGTACTGCTGCAGTTGGTGGTTATGGGGGTAGGAGGACTCTTTGTGGCGTGGACTGGAAGCGATGGAGGACAGGGTGCCGTTCTTGGAGATGACATCAGAACCCATACCGCTCTTTGCCCAGGACACTCGCTTGGGAGCCTGAGCATCCTCCCTACAGGCAAGAAGAGCACAATCATTAAAGAAAGATCGTCCATCACCAGCCGGCTGCTGTGGAAGCCCAGTTAGTGGAGCACATTCACCAGGAAGGCTTCAGAATATCTCAGAACTCTCATGTGGGTTCTCAGTTTTCTTATAGAGTTTTAGTTTAACGTTTGAACAGAATACTCCTTCTGACAGAAAACTAAAAACCAAACTGTTGATAGTAAACATTTATAAAGAAAAGAAACTGGTCCAAAGCTGCACATCTTCATTTCAAATGTTACTCCAACAAAACGATTCATAAATGTGGGGCAGAGGTGGCTACAAATGACCTTCACAGCCTAAAATTCAGATTTTTAAGTCATGCACAAAAACAGGTTGTGATTTGCAAGAACTGGTTGTAACACTCAGAATTTAGTGAGGCTGCATTGAGTTTAAGAAGTTTCTCCAGTTTTCTCACTGAGTTGTTCTTCCACTAGTGTCCAACAGCCACAGCAGTGAGACACTACCATCAGACTGTGCAGAGCTGATCTGAGATCAATTTCTTTCACCCCATGCCAAACGCAGAGCAATAATGTCCACATTTGTGACAGTTAGTAAACTCTTTCATGAATCATCCAATAGATTTTAATAAAGCTTTCAGAAAGTTATCATTGGGTTGACATCTACAACAAATTTTGAAATCAACCAAATTCAAGTTGGCCACCACAGCTAACTGACTTTAGTTGATACAGATCAGCTAAAAGTTGTTATGATAGGACCAAAGCCAAGTCATTCTGAGATCATGCAAGACATTGCACCACAAACTGCACACAACTGATTTTTAATGTTTGACTACAAGTGTTATCTCAATCCAAAATGATGTTAGTATAAAACTAAGACATAAAAGGTGGCGGCCGTTATGGCATTAATCTGTCCTCCAGCTCTAATGTTAAAAATCTTGGTGTTATTTTTGATCAGGACATGTCTTTTATCCCCCACATTAAAAATGTTACTAGAACTGCCTTCTTCTACCTGCGTAATATTGCTAAAATTAGAAACATCTTATCTAAAAATGATGCAGAAAAACTGGTCCATGCATTTGTCACGTCTAGACTGGACTATTGGAATGGTTTATTGTCTGGATGTCCAAATACTTCTTTAAAATATCTTCAGTTGATCCAAAATGCTGCTGCCAGAGTCTTAACCGGAGTTAGTAGGAGAGATCATATTTCTCCGGGTGGTATTTCGCTGGTTTTCTGCTGGACTGGCCCTCGTGGTGTCTTCATAGGTGTGGGGGAAGTGTACCTGTGTCCCTCGAATTGGACCAGAACTGAACCGAGGTGGCTGTGGGGATTTTGTCTTCAACACAGCCGGTCTCAGCTTCAGTGAGCAGCCCGTTACTTTTACCGAAGGACGATCCACCTCCGTGGAGTCGTTGTGTTCACCTGGAGGAGACGCTCCGGTGCTTTGAAGCGCCGCCGGACCGGAGCAGAACCGCGTCGCCGGACTGGGCCGCCGGACTGGAGCAGAACCGGGCCAGGGATATCTTCAGCCTCTTCGTCTCTCGTGCTTGGAGCGCCGGAGCCGAACTGGAGCAGAGTCGGACCGGACCAGTTGCCAACTTGAGCCTCAGCCTCTCCGGTCAGTCTCGCTTTTCACCGGGGGTGCCCCGTGCTGTCGGGTGCGGAGGTGACGTGCTGAGAAGCGGAGGAGCAGCGTGGAGGAGCAGCGTGGAGGAGCAGCGTGAAGGCGCAGCGTGAAGGAGCAGGGTTGCGTGGTGCTCGAGAGAAGTTCGGAGTTGCTGCAGGCCTTCATCCAAACTCACCTGGATAATAATTATTTTTATTCCGGATCACGCTGTTGGCCCCTGTTGACCTGAAACGAGCTAGGATCATGCCTTTCGCTTCAGGAGGATTTTTTGGCAGCTCGCTCTGCTATTTGCTGTGAATTATCTGTTTCTGTTTCGGCCTGTTGATTCTGGACCCAGCTTCTGTTTCCCATGAGAGCATCCATCCATCTTCACTGGGGGGCCGGAGCCCCCCTCAGCCCAACTCAAACTGCAGTTGGGCCAACTCGTCGGGTTTGTTTGCCCATTTGAACTGTGACGTTTTATGGTCTGAAACTTTTCTGCATCATTCATATTATTGTCACTATTTTCAGTTCTCAGATTATCTGGAGTCACTGAATCTTGTTAATACACCTGAATCTGTCCATCACTGCAACTTTCATTGTTTTTGGGTTCTGAATGATCGCGTCTTCATTAACGTTTCTCATGGTTCGATTATGGGGGCTAATTGTCACACTGTTAACTCCTGTAATTACACATCAGTCACAAAAAACTCAAGAAAATGTCTGATAATAATGTTGTTACTGCTCTCAGGGATTCAGCCCAACCCTGGACCCCCCCACTAATTACAGCACACCAAATGACTTTAAGAACGTGTCTGGGCTTCATTTTCTGCATGTAAACGCTCGTAGCCTTCTGAGAAAACTGGATGCTTTGAAAATTCTGGTCAGTTCTTCTGGGGCAGATGTTATCTTTATTTCTGAATCCTGGCTCAACAAATCTGTACTCAATAATGACGTGGCAATCAATGGATTTAACATCTACCGCTGTGATCGTCAAAAAAGGGGGGGTGGAGTCATTATTTACATTAGAGATTCTCTGGTTTCTACTCTTGTGTCTTCTAAAACAATTCCAAACCAGTTTGAAGCCTTAGCTGTAAACATCACCTTGAATGGAGGCCAGATTTTAACTGTAGTCTGCTGCTACCGCCCCCCATCAGCATCACCTGAGACATTGACTGCCATGATGGAATTTTTTGGTAATTTAAAATTCAAAGAGGTCATTTTGGCTGGAGACCTCAACATTGATTGGTGTAAGTCGACCCCCCTGTGATAAATTCAAGGAATGTTGCTTGTCTCTTAATCTTACCCAACTGATCAACTCTCCCACTAGATTAAATAAAAACCGTCCTGAAAAATCCTCCATCTTAGACCTGTTTCTAACTAATATGCCTCACAAATTCCCTGGTACAGGTGTATTCGCTGATCTTTTGAGTGATCATTGTGTGACAGCTGCTTTGAGAGATATTAAACTTCCACCTTCTAAGCCCAGATTAATTCAAAAAAGGGATTTGAAATGTTTTTGTGAACAGTCATTCCTCTGGGATCTGTCTCACTTTGACTGGCATCGTATTCTGTTAACTGATGACGTGAACTCCGCTTGGAACTATTTTCATAATAGTTTCATTTATTTTCTGAACATACATGCTCCTTTTCGTCAGTTCAGAATAAAGGGACGAGACAGCCCCTGGTTTACTCCAGAGCTAGCTGATCTCCTGCACAGGAGAGATCATCTTTGGGCCACAGCGAGAAAATCTGACTCAGACACTGATTGGTTGAGTTTTCGACAGATGAGGAATAAATGCACAACTGCTGTCAAAGCAGCAAAACGCAACTATTTCTTATCTCAGACCTCCAAAAATCTAAATGACCCTAACAGATTCTGGAAAACTATCAAATCTCTCTCAGGCACCCCCCAATCATCTGACCTCCCATCACAACTTCTCGTTAACTATGTTCCTGTGTCAAATAAGCATGAGATCCTGAACTGTTTCAACAAACATTTTGTTGCTTCTGGTTCTTTATTTGATACAGTTACTAATGGAAGATCAGCCACTTCCCCTAATAGCCAAACTTCTACAAATCAAATCCCTCCTACAAGTCAATCCTCAGTTAATCACCGCTTCTCTTTTTCTCCATTCTCAGTCAGTGAGGTCAATAAACTGTTAAAAGATATTGACCCTATAAAATCTGCAGGTCCTGATGAACTTCCACCTTATTTCTTAAGGCTGGCTGCTCATATCATCACAGTCCCTGTGACCCACATCTTCAATCTCTCCATAAGACAAAACTCCATCCCAGACACTTGGAAAACAGCCTTTGTTCTTCCTTTGCTGAAGGGAGGAGACCCCACCTCACTGAACAACTACCGACCAATCTCTAAACTCTGCATTTTAGCCAAGGTTCTAGAAAAACTGATAAACTCTCAAATCAAAAATTACCTGGACTCATTTAACATCTTACCTCCACATCAATCTGGTTTCAGGAAACAACACAGCACAACCACTGCTTCACTGAAGGTTCTTAATGATGTTGTTGAAGCACTGGATGCTAAGGATTATTGTACTGCACTTTTCTTAGACCTGTCTAAAGCTTTTGACACTGTGGATCATAACATCTTGTGTCATAAACTCTCAGAAATCGGTTTCTCAGATCACACCATTTGTTGGTTCTCTAACTATCTTTCAGACCGGAGGCAATGTGTTCAACATAATGGTACTTCCTCCAGTTATTTAACAGTCAACAATGGTGTACCACAAGGCTCAGTCTTAGGACCCACCCTCTTTACAATCTACATACATAATGTAGGTAAAAACATCCCTAATGCATCCATACATTTCTATGCTGATGACACAGTTGTTTATTGTCGAGCTAAAACTGTTGCTAAGGCTTTCCAGCTTTTGAAATCTGCATTCAACATCATCCAGACTGATTTTTTTCGCCTCAAACTTGTCCTAAATGCCGACAAAACCAAAGGGATGCTTTTTTCAAATAGGAAGTTGGTCCCAGCAGTTCTTCCTCCGATTTTATCCTCAAATGGTGTCCCCATTGAGTTTGTTGATTCCTATATTTGGGTATCTTGGTCGACTCACATCTCTCTTTTAAGCTCCATGTGGAAAACTTGATAAAGAAACTGAAAGTTAAACTGGGTTTCTTTTTCAGAAACAGATCCTGTCTAACCCTGAATGCTAGAAAACGCCTTGTATCTGTGACTTTCCTTCCCTCAATTGATTATGGTGACATTATTTACATGAACGCTCCTACAAGAACCCTGCAGATGTTGGATGCTGTCTATCATGGTGCACTAAGATTCATAACTGGCTGTGATTATCGTACCCACCACTGCACCCTGTATTCACTGGTTAACTGGACATCATTAACTTCACGCAGACTCTCTCACTGGTA